TATAAAGCAACTTTTACACTTTAGAGATAAATGGTTTGCTTTAAGTGGAACGCAAGTACCTAGAGTTTCTGAGTTAAATGCAGTTAGGTCACTGTTCATCTGTATTTTCATTTAAAATAAGTATCGGGGTTTAGATGCTGTATTTAAGGCTGTCATGAAACAAGGCAACATTACTTTTAATGACTTGATTAAAACAAATTACTAATTAAAGGGTGTGTCCTAATCTATTACATTGTTGCTCTAAACATTTGACGTAAGTGGTAAACCTAGTCTTTATGATGTCATTGACTTACATATGAAGTGGTGGGGAAGCATAGAATTGTCTTAAATTGTATTGCAATATTTTTAAATATTATGTGACTGTATTCATTTTTCTAACCAGTATTTACTGAATTCCTACTTTGTATAAGGCACTGAGGAAGACAGATGTCAAGAATAATTAAAGAACTTTCCATTTTAATTGGGGTAGTAGGCAGAGCTGTGTATTTTTATAATGGAAGGAAAATTTTTTTAAAAACTGCAAAAATGTTATAAACCAAATGATAAGGAATCATAGATGACAGAGTATAATTGGTTGTACAACCAAACCAATTATATTCCAGTTCACTAAGCTGCTGAAACACTATGGAGAAAATGGAATTATCGTGCAGTCTGTTGCCTCTACAAATGCTGCTACAGCCAAATCCACGCATTCCCAGAATACTGCCCGGCTTTATGGTTAATGCCACACAGTTCCTCTCACATTTCTCTTTGCAAACTTTTATCAGTACCCTATTTGAGACCTGAGCTCTTCTCCCCCTCAAAAAAAGGACTTCCTTCTATCTTTGGCTCTGGCTCTAGATCCCATTCCTTCCACTTCTTCTAAAACTTTGCTCTGTTATCTTTCTGCGTTTACAAGTTTTTTCTCTCCAAGGGCTCCTTCCTCTCCACATGTAAACTTGCTCAACTCTTCCCTATCTTAAAAAGAAAGAACTAAGAGCCACTACTCCCTATTACAGCCACACTGTATTTCCCTTTGCCTTTCCAATAAAATTTCTTGAGTTTTTTATAGTCATCCTTTATACTCTTTGAACTTTCATTCACTCCTCAAGCCGCTGTACTTGAGCTTCTTTTCTCTAAGACTCTATTTATACACTTGATTTGGCGGACAGTGACTATTACCTTATCTGATGGCTCCTTTGTGAAATTATCTTCTGCCTTAGTTTCTTGAGCACCTGTCTTTTCTTTGCCGCCCCGGTGAACTTTCCTCTCCTGTGTGGTCTTAGCTTAGTCAGCCACTGCATTGTTGATCTCTCCCCCTCCCCCCTTATGTCACACTCCTCCATGCCCAGTATGCTACATTGACTTTATATTTCTTGAGGAAGTTACGCTTTTTATTTGTTTTGTTTTGTTTTAATACATCAGGCCTTTTAACTTATTTTTCCTCTACCTAGAATATTTTCCTAGTTCTTCCAGTGGCTGGCTGGCGTCTCACTGTTCAGTTCTTGGATCTGTTGTCATTTTTCAGAGAGACTGTGAGTGACAGTGAATGACCTACTTGTCCTCCACTCCTACCCCTCTGTAACCTGTTAACCCCTTCTGCTGTGTCTGCAACACTTTCTGAAGTCATTCTGTTTGCTCCTCAGGGTCAGAGCCCTTGTCTGACCTGTTTTCTGCTCTATTCCCAGGAATAGAACTGGCTAGGATCTCCTATACAACATTGAATCAAAGTGGTCATAATAAATATCCTTGTCTTGGTCCTGACCTCAGAGACCAGCAGTTCGCCATTAAGTATGTAGGTTTTTGTGGATACCTGGGGTGAATTTTTAATGGTATCACAGAGGATTGAGCAGAGATGAGTTTTCCAGACACAGGGAAGAACCCCTAGCGGTAAATGTAAATGGTCTCCTTTGGTGATAGATTAAAATGAGGTAGTGGGAGACATGTTTGTCATATCCCTGCTTTCTTAATGTGCTCCCTACCATGCTAAGTAATGTTGCATGATGAGGGAAAGTAGTAGGAGATATAAGATGAAAAAGTTAGGATGGGGCCAAATCATGGAGGTGAGAAGGCAGTAGTAAACTGTTCTTTCAGCACTGGACATTGTTGTAGGACAATAGAACACCATTAACAGAATTAGAGAAGTCATCAAGAAAATGTTGGTTAGATGAAGAGACGACCCTTTTGGTCGTTTTTTAAAAGTTATGTTTTATGATTTGGAACTCACCTTGAAATCTTAGAAATATTGGGTTGTCGGAAAAATCATGACATATTTTTCTGTTTTTTGTTGCAAAAATGTGTCATGACTTTTCCTACAGCCCAGTGTTATACTGCTACTTAGCAGAAAATTCAGGGCTGAAAGATAAATTTGGGTATCATTTACATGGTGAAGGGAATATATGAGAGTTTGAAGTATTCATATGAAGATGAAATTTAATTCTGCCTCTTGACTCTGTGAAAATTTAAAATCTCTAGAATGTTCTTTTACCAATAAAATTGGAGGGTTGAACAAGATTCTTTTTTAATGGTTTTCTTGGTTCTTGCATTTTTTTTTTTACTTTGACAGGCAGGCAAAGAAAGACTAAAAACCAAATTAACAAAGAATTTTAAAGGCTGAAACATTTTATGATGATGATCTTAAAACTCAAAACAATTTTGTTTCTGAAATGAGCAGCTAGAGGAGGAGAATATGGCAATCGAGTTGACACAAGGTTGAGTTTTTGTTGGCTATTAGTGCACAGTTCTGATTATTTGCTTTATTTAAAAATAAAGAAGAAAGTAAGATAGTTATTTGCCAGAACACAGTACTTAACGATAGAAACCCTGTCTGTCCTTTTTAAGTCACTCACTGAAAAGACTTTTGCCTCTTCATCTCTATGAATAGTGTGAAAGAATACATTTCTTTTTCTTTTTCTTTTTTTTTGGTCCCTCTGCTTTGGCCTCCCCCCACTGAGCTTTTTAATTTATCCACTTTTCTTGGTTATAAAGCCTTTCAATTTAGCCAAATGAAATTACATTCTCTATTATCTAATTTATTTTGCAACTAGTTTAACAACTTCCAGGAGACACTCCAATTTCCATGGCTGTAAAAAGGAGAAATTGATCTTGATCTAGGCATGCAACTAGGCAACTACTTAGTACAAATTCTCATTTTATGTATTTCTTTACTATTTTGTCTAATAATCTGTGCCTCCAAAATTGCCCTTTTAAAATCAATAATCAAATCCATTTTGTAAAAAGATAATGATGTGAAGTGTAAGAAGGAAGCGTTAAAAAGTAGGAGCCACAGTTTACTCGAAAGTATGATTGTCTTTCTTTTAAAGATGCCTAAACCCTGGGGTTTCTCTTCCCTGTACATCTACCCAAGGGCAAAATCCTTCTTATTTTATATTTTAAATATTCCGTGAATTCATCCTGTTCTCTAAGTCAGCAATACCCTAATTATCTCTAAGCTATCTATGATATTTTATCAACAAATGGTCTCATTGAAGGAGCCTTCTGATTCAAGCATAAAGCTACCCTGTCCCATTCTCCGTGTCACTATTGCTGCCATCGAAAACATACTAAAGATGTCACTCTCTCACTCTCTTCCTTATTACTCCCCAGTGATGCTTCATTACCCAGAGCAATGTTTCTAAAAAACTGATGTGCTTAAGAATCACCTAGGGATTTTCTGATTTAATATGTCTGGAGATTGTGATACTTATTGCTCTTAGACCCCACACCTTGAGAAACCTTGACTCATAGCTAATGTGCTAACAGCTATTGAACTTGTACCACGTGCCAGGCACTGATCCAAGCACACTGCTAATTCATTAAATTCTCAAAACCTTCATGTGAGGTAGAAACTATTGTACTGTTTTCCATTATAGATGATACCATTAAGGATAGTCGGAGGTTTTTGTCATGACCCTTCAGCGTCCTGGCCCATGAGTTTTTTTAACCCCTTTGGTTGTCACCCCTCTTCCTCCCTCTTTGCACTGGAAATCCAGTAACACTAACTGCATGTTACCTAGAAATACCATGCCTTCTTCATGTATTTGTGCTTTTATCACGTTCCTGTTTCCTGAAGTTTCCTCCCCCTGGCCCTTTCTTTACTCAAGACATTTCATTCAGGAGCCATCTCTAAGAAGTCTTTCCTAAAAATAAGCCCTAGTTCGATTAGTTCACTGGTATACTTGAGAACATTTTGTGCATACTACAGTCGCGGGAGTACAAATGGCATTTTCTAGAAATGATTCATGTCTTCTCTCCTTAACTTTTTTTTTTTTAAGTTGTTTTTGATTGGGCAATTGGGGGAAGGGGAACAGACAAGTTGCTGTCTTTTTGTTCTTCAGTCTAGTTGTGGAGGATGTTGCTTCACTGGCCCAAGTTGGCACCATCATTGCGCTCTTCCTGGGCGAGGCAGATCAGTTGCCGGCTTCTGGACGGCCGCTCACACTGGCTGCTGGCCACTCATGCTGGCTGCTGGCTACACACAGTAGCCCATGGCAACCCACTGCAGCAGGAGCTGCAGCCTACTCCGGCACCGGCGACCCACGGCAGCCCAGCTCCAGGTTGAGTTGTTGTTCAGCATCTTAGCTGTAGAGGGCAGTGTCACTGGCCCTCATGTGGGATCCGAACCGGGGCCCTCTGGCGTCCCAAGCCAGCTCTTAAACAATGTGCCACTTGGCCGGCCCTTCACTCCCTAACTCTTGATTGAAGCTACTTAAGGGAAAAAACCTGGTGATTTTCCTTTGCAACTCCAGCCTGTACTACAGTGCCCCACATAGAGTAGGAGCTCGGTAAAGTATCTTTGTGTGCTTTGAAAGTAACTGTGGCTAGATTTAGTTTGTCTATGCCATTCTTCCATGTTGTACTATGATAAGGGAGACAGATTTGTAGAATCTCAAAATACACTAAACCACTAAAGGTGGATTATGGTAGGAGAGAATTTTATTGGATCAAATGGCAAACTAAGAAATTATAATTGAATAGTAAAGAAGATGAATATGTATGGGAAAAAATCATAGTTTATTTAATTTAAGATTACTGTGGGTTGAGATTAGATTTCTAGAAAGTATATGATCCATTTTAGCTCTTGTAATTTGGTTTCTAGAATGTTTTCTATCTTGTGTTTGCCTATTAGAGAAAGATGCCACCATTTAACTTCTGTTTTCAATATGTACACAAATATTTAACAAATAGAGATTTGAAAAGTTGTAATGTCTAAAGCAAACTAGGTAGAAACAACTTGACATGGTAGGTGGGCATGGACTGTTCATACCCTAAGGCTAATTGTTGGATAGCAGACAGAAGTCCTGCCTTATTTTAGAGTTCATTGATACACTAAGTAGTTTTAGACTTGACATTTCTAGCCTTTTGTTTTCTTAACAAATGATATGCGTGAAACTTTAACTTGCAAATGTTAGAATGTCTTACAGTTCTTTTTCTGATGTTATTCTCCTAAAAATAGACGAAACACAGACTACACTATCTTTAAGTGTTCAATATGTGGCTTTCAGAAATTCTGAAGTATTTCATACATGACATCATTATATTTTATTATTTTAGGTATAATATTTCATGATTTTATGAAATGTTAAGTGTTTATTATTTTTATAAAAATATTACACAGCTACAGAACTTAGTATAGTTTTATTTGTTTGAATTTAAACAAAACGGGGAAGTTTTAAGCTATTTTTGTATCTAGTGTTCATATATATATATATATATATATATATATATATTTGAGGGGGGCGGTGCTACTCTGTAGGTATAAAAGGCAGTAAAGTCATTCGCTTTATGTCATTTTAGCTGCAGACATTCAATACTGCCGCACCTTGTCAAGATGTGAAACAGCTGACTAATGGAGTTGCCATGGCACAGGTTCTTCATCAAATGTAAGTACTGGTCTAGGCTTTTCCTGAAAGAGTTGTAAACCCAATACCAAAGATGAAAACGTGTATTCTAAAGGTTACTGAAACTTGATGCTATTCAATGATGACAAGTATATGGTTCCAAAGCATTCTTGCATCTAGGGAACAAAAACGTTATCCCCTGATTATTCTTTGTTTATAGAGATACATCTTAATTAAAGGAGCAATCAAGACTCTTATCTATTCCAGAAATGTTAATTTTAAACTTGTTCTGATCATGTTCACAAGTTATAGTAACTGGGAAAGGAACAGGTTTAGTGAATGGTATAATTGTTTATAATGCTTCCTTCGGTTGTACTATTGTCATTTGAGGGTATCAATGAATGGAGATTATTATTTTGGAGATAATTGAAACAAAATACTGGATTTGGGAAAAATATTAGATATTAAAATCTATATTGGAACTAATAGTAATTGTATCAACCCACCAATAATGAAATGATATATACGCGTAAATGAAATTTGAAGTTACAAATGCAGGGGAACCTTAACTAATAAAGTAACTCTGTTTGGGTAGGCCCATTTTATATAATTACATAATATCACAAGTTTTTAAATTCATCATTTCCTCATTTTAATTGTTGTCATCATTTTGTAAAGGTTTATTGTGATTAGCTTTGAAAACCCTGTAGATGGGTTGGAAAAATTCTCTATCACTCTTAGAAAAACAACTTAAAACAATATCAAAATCTTAATTACTTGGAATAGTCAAAATGATCTAATTTGAATAGACAGATTTTACAGTTAGTTCAAAATAAGCACTTTAAAAGACAAGCTTAACCTGTTAACTTTTTTTTTTTTTGGCAATCATTCTGAAATATGCCTATTTCCATGCTTATAAATGTTACATGTTTAGAAATGTTACAATTTATTATATATTGCATTAATAGCTATTCTGACATCAAATCACATCAAAGTTTTTACTGAAATTAAGAAGTGAAATTTTGCTTTTTAAGGAAGTAGCAAAATTTAATGTATTATTCTTTCATTATTTACCTAAGGCAGATATGCTTCTAAGTGATGAAATAAAATCAGTGCCCAAACTATATGACTTAGACATGAGAAGCCATGGGATTATTGCTAGGTTTTTACAGTTTCTTAATTATTATCTTTGGTCTGAAATGTATGTAGAAGTTGTTGTTATTTTTAAAAAGCATGGGGAAAACTATAACCACAACTGTATGTTTCTTGAGGTTGCCGTAACAAAGTGCCACCGACTTGGGTGACTTAAAACAACACGAACTTTTTCTCTCATTGTTCTTGAGGTTAGAAGTTCTAAGTCAAGGGGGCCATGCTCCCTCCAAAGCCTCTAGGACAGGATCTTTCCTTGCTTCATCCAGCTTCTGGTGGCCCTAGGCATCCCTTGATTTGTGGCAGCATAACTCTATTCTTTGTCTCCATCTTCACGTAGCCATCTTCTCTCTGTGCCTTTGTGCCTTCTCCTCTTCTTAGGAGGACACCAGTCATATTGGATTAGGGCCCACCCTAATTTAGTAGGACCTTATATTAACTTGAATACATTTGCAAAGACCCTATTTCCAAAAACGGTTACATTCACACAGAGATACCAGGGGATAGGCCTTGAGCACACTTTTTAGAGGGATTAATTCAATACACAACTATAAATATTGCATGCTACTTCCCCTAAAAGAAATGCTAGCTTTGTCACTTTAAGCACCAGATAACTTCTCTGCTTTTTTCTATTATTTTTGACTGGACATTTTTGTAAGAGGGAGAAGAATGATACAGAGAATGGTAGAATATTCAGAGACTTCAAGTATCATGCACTTATTTGTTCATTCATTCATTCAGCAGATAGTTGAGCATTTCAAATGATAAATCATGATAGCCCAGGTCTGATTATTTACTAAATATAAGACATTGTTATATATGCCATACATATGTTATTTTACTTTTTACTGTCCTATGAGGTAGACAGTATTTTTATCCTCAATTTATAGATGAGGAAACGGAGGTTCAGAGAAGTGCAATGACTTTTGTAAAGTCAAATAATGAGTAAATACCAACGCCAGGATTTGTGTCAATTTGGCCTCACTCTAAAGCCATACTCCCAGTCAGCTATAATAATTGAAATCTAGTATCTCCAGTTCCTCCTGTTAGAGGTTTACTTTGGGGTCTTAATAAATGAAAGGCCAGGTGTGCATGTCCAAACTACAGATCACAATTTGATGTGTTAAGCACAGATGGCCTTTTGATTATTCAAGAAGAATAGTGTCAGGTTGTCCATTGAAACAACACAACTATGTTATATACAGTAACCAGTGGGCATTAATTATTACCTGTGTTTAGTTGGTAAAATCATTGAAGAGAAATCAAATGGGTAAAAATAAAAAAAAAAATGTGTAGTGATTCTTACCTAATTGTATTAGAAAACATTTGGACCCTATTTCACTTTTTTAGTCTTATGTCCTGTTCTTGTTGGTGCCCCTGGGTTTCACTGAAGTTCTGGGAAATTTGAGAAAAGGCACTTGCTGTTGGGGCCAAGAGTCTAGGTAAGACATCTGTCTACACATGTGAGCGCAAAAGCATAACAGAAGGATATGTCCAGAGAGTCTGAGGTTGGATATCAAGTCTAATAGTGCGAAAGTTTGGCTGTCAATATATTTGAGAAGGATGGATTTGTTTATAAGAAAGAAAGCAGGAGATATATTTTTATGAAGAAGTTAGAAAGTACTTCTCAGGGCATTATGGACTGAAGGTGTGTGCTCCTTCAAAATTCGTATGTTGAAGCCCTAACTCTGTCAGGTTTCGTTGTGTAGCTATATTGGAGATAGAACCCCTAAGGAAGTAATTAAGGCTCAATGAGGTGATATGAGTGGGGCCCTGAGCTGCTAGGATTAGACTGCTTATAAAAAAGAGACATCGGAGAGGCCACTCCATATCTGCAAACGTTCAAAGAAGGGATCATGTGGGCACACAGCAAGATGGTAGCCACCTGGAAGCCAAGAGAAGAGACCTCAGAATGAAACCTGTTTTGCCAACATTTTAATCTTGGAATTCCCAGCCTCCAGAACTGTAAGAAATAAATTTTTGTTGTTTAAGCCACCCAGTCTGTAGTATATTTGTCTGTAATCTGAGCAGACTAAGTAAGTATAGGGCTAAAGTAGATTTGGGATGGAACAGAAGATAAGGAAGAATGCAAGACAAAAGGAAGAAAAACTAGGTTACCTCCAGACCCATTTTCTAATTGTAATTACAATGTAATTATAGAAGCATATACGTATGAAGATTTTTTTAGGGTCAGAAGACTGGTGTGGTAGTCAGGGTTTTCCAGAGATATAGAACCAATAAGATTTGTATATGCACAATAGGATGTGGTGTACACACACGCGAGCGTGAGGACAGAGATTAAGAAGTTGGCTCACATGATTGTGGAGGCTGGCAAGTCTAGAATCCAGAGTAGGCAGGCCAGCAGGCTCAAGATCTGTGGAGGCATTGACGTTGCAACTAGAGTGCCCAGACAGTCTACTGGAAGAATTGGCTCTTCCTCTGGGGAGGTCAGGCTTTTTTCTTAAGGCCTTCAACTGGTAAATGAGGCCTGTCCACATTATGGAGGGTAATCTGCTTACCCAAAGTCTACTGTTTTAAATGTTAATCGCAATTAAAAAATATTAATAACTTCACTACTTCTGAGCACGTGTGACTAAATATATGGGTACTGTGGCCTTGCCAAGTTGACACATAAAATTAACCATCACAACTGGCATACCTCTTTTACTTAACCTGATGTCAAGAGAAAAGTAAACTTACTTTGACAGTTTGGACTCTAACTAAATTCAGTCTTTTCAGGTAAATACCTGATTAGAAATAGATCATATATACATTTGGCCAAATTATTTTAGTAATTGCAGGCTTAGCATCTGGGAAAATTGAACATAAAACATTAATTTGCTCAAAAGAAAATGGTTAAAAGTCTAAATAAATGAATTAAAAATGGTAAAGCCATTTTTGGTTACTCCACTCAGATGTGATATCTTCTGTATTAGAACATCTGAGGCAGAATGATTTCTGAAAAGCTAATTACCATGCTCTAATTTCAGCTTTGCATTTTCAAATTCAAGATAGCACCTTGGAAAAGAATTCCTTTAATCTTTTCTCTCACTTTAGTTGCCTTATCTGTAAAGTAAAAATTTAGATTAGACCTTTAAGACTTCTTCTGGCACTACTACATCCTGTGATTTTGTAGTGTTGGCTAACCCTTAAAGCATTTATCACATTCTCCTTTGAGTATAGTTATTTGTGCTCTCTACTTCCCCCCCTTTAATAACTATCTCTCTAAAAGTCAGAATAGTAAATTATTCATCTTCATATTAATCTTGCCCAGTACCTTCCTCAGAGCAAGTATCCAAATATTTGTTTAGAATATAATCTATTTCTGTAGTTCATTATTTATAGTCAAATGTTACTCTTCAAGACCTTATTAAGTAAATATTTGATATAGCGGTTCTTTGTCTTGGCCTTCAGTATCAATAGAACTTACCCATATAAGTTTAAAACTAAATTTGTCCTTGGAGAGTTCTCGTTACACTCATTATACTGTTACAATCAGATAGATTTATTTTGGGCTTTGCCAGATACTAGTGTCACTTGGGGCGAATTACTTAGGCTCTCTTATCCTTAGTTCCCTGAAGAATAAGATTGGGAATAATAGATCCTTCACTCAAGTAACTATGATATTTAAATGAAGTAATATGGAAAAACAAGCAGGGTGCTTGATACATAGTAGACACATTAAAATATTAGTTTTATTTTCCCCTTTGCGATTGGGACTTTTATATCTTCCTACTCTCATTCTGTCTATTATGAAATATTTAGTAAATGTTTTTTATATTGATGATGTTAATGACTTAAGCAGTTTTATTATGAGAATTTCCAAAATCCTTAGGAATAACAAAAAATTTAGTGGGTCTTTTAAATAATATTTACTGTTGTTATTAAGGACAGGCTTCATCAACTTTGTTGATTAAATTTGGTATTTTTCATGTTATAAAAAACGTTTAATGTTTAGTGCTTGTATTTTTGTTTTAGTGATGTAGCTTGGTTCAACGAGTCTTGGTTAAGCCGAATTAAGGAGGATGTTGGTGACAACTGGAGAATAAAGGTATGCAGAATGAATGGTAGAAGCACTTGATTTGCAACAGTGGTTCTAAAATTAGCACTATGCTCAACTAAATCTTTTTTTAAAAGCTAACTTAAGGGTGCATTTAGTGTATGCAGTTTGAG